AATTTTTTTTTTTTTTCTTGAGATGGAGTTTCACTCTTGTCGCCAAGCTGGCATGTGCAATGGCGCACTCGGCTTTACTTGCAACCTACGCCTCGCCGGGGTTCACGCAATTCTCTGCCTCAGTCTCCCGAGTAGCTGGTTACAGGCGCCCGCCCAAATGCCCAGGAGATTTTGCATTTTAGGTGAGATGGTTCACCATTGTTGGCCAGCGCTGGTCCTTAATCCTGACTTCAGGGATCCACCGCCTACCTCCGATCTCCTGACCTCGTGATCGGCCCTCCTCGGCCTCCCAAAGTGCTGGCATTACAGGCATGAGCCACCGCGCCCGGCCACCACACATTATTTTTTAATTTTAGCAGGAGTTGATTGAAAACCCTATTCTGGGGCTCAGTGAGTCTGACTAATTGGGTAAATGGACGTTCCATGGAATTTCCTGTTCCCTAAGGCCCACGTCTGTGTGTCTTGTGAAGTGTGAGTCTTGACCTGGATCTCTTGTGTCTGGGACACCAGTAGACATTGGGAAGGCTTTGGCAAGGCCCTGAACAGTGGGGTCCGACCCCTGCAGTCTGGTGTCCCTGCGTTTAGCCTACGTGTGCGACCGCCAAGGCGCGGGTATACCGAGTACTGCCGGCAGATGGCGGTAAAGACTGACGCAAATCAATCAGCTAACGGCTTCAAGGGCCGGCTGTAGGGCGTGGGCGAGCGGTGTGGAATGCATCCTGGTTGTAAGTCGCCAAGGGCGCATTTTATTGCAGAATTTGCAATTGGAGAAGACCATTTTGGCCCTTAGTGTGCCGAAAGAGAGAGAGGCCTTTGTTCTGCGAGCCTTGCTGGTGCCCGGTCCCTGCCTACACGAGCTGGCTTTGAGCCCCCTCTCCCGGCGTTCATCTTCTGTCCCCAGTTCTATTCCCTCCAGCCTTCCTTCTTCGCGCCAACCGAGCTTATTTCCTGCTCAGCCTTTGCAGGGCCGGTGGGTCACTGGCTTTGCATGTTGTCCTCAAGGTCTTCACGTGGCTGGCTCATCATGCAATCAGCTCTTTTCCTTTCTTAAAGAGGTCTTGCCTGACCACCGTTTCTAACGAGGTTCTTCCTCCCTATCACTTTCCATCTATCACTGTTTTATTTTCTTTGTAGCTATGATCACTACCTGATTTTACACATTCTTTTTTTTAATGTTTATTACACATTCTGCTGGGTGAAATAAGTCAAACACAGAAAGACAAATACTTCATGTTCTCACTTATATATGGAATCTAAAATAATTGAACTGTGGTCAGAAACCACCAGGGATCATGGCAGATGGGAGGCAGGACTAGACTGAAGTTCCCACTCAGATGGACAGAGCAGCATGTGGAGGCTCGCATCATGAAGTTTTGCTTCGGAAGGACTGCAGGAACGCATTAGGAAAGCCAAGAGAACCCACAGACCCTCTGAAGGAAACGGATTGCTCCTTGAGGAGGGCTGCCAGAGGCCCAGAGAGGCCACAGGGAGAAGGAAACCTCCAGCTGAACTTTGTAACAATTTGAACTGATCAAGAAGCCTCCTGGCCAGAAGCGAGAAAAGAAGGTATTTGTCCTAATGCTCTCCCTCCCCTTGCCCCCACACCCGAACTTTATGCATTTTAACATGTTTATTAGATTCACGGAATCACTTAGCCTTTTGGAACTCCCTTGAGTTACACTTTTAAAGTCACTTTCCCCTTTCTTAAGCCCCTGACAACCGTTGATCTGTTTCATTCTTTTCCATATGGATATACAGTTTTCCCAACACCATTTATTGAAGAGATTGTCCTTTCTCCTTTGCATATACTTGACACCTTTGTTTAAAACCAATTGGCTGTAGATGTGTGGGTTCATTTCCGGGCTTTCTATTCTGTTCCTTGCTTGATGTGTCTCTTTTTATGCCAGTACTATGCTGTTTTAAATACTGTTGCTTTGTAGTATAATTTGAAATCAGGTAGTGTGATGCCTCCAGCTTTGTTCTTTTTGCTTATGTTTATCTTGGCTATTTGGGTTTTTTGGAGGCTCCATATGAATTTTAGGATTTTTTTTTATATCTATGAAAAATAACATTGGAATTTTGACAGGTGTTGCATTGAATCTGTGTATTGTTTTGGGTAATATGAACATTTTAACAATATTAAGCTTTCTAATTCAAGAACACAGGGTATCTTTCCATTTGTTTGTGTCTTCTTCAATTTTTTTAATTAATGTTTTATAGTTTTCAGTGTACAGGTCTTTTACCTCCTTGGTTAAATTTATTTCTAAGGATTTTATTATTCTGGTAGCTATTATAAATGGAATTATCCTATTGATTCCATTTTTGGAAAGCTCATTATTAGTGTAGATAAGCATTACTGACTTTCATATATTGATTTTGTATCCTGAAACTTTATTGAATTTATCAGTTCTAACAGTTTTTTGGTGGAATCTTTAGGGTTTTCTACATAAAAGATTGTGTCATCAGCAGTGATATTTTCAATTCTTTATTGCCTATTTGGATGCCTTTTCTTTTTCTTGTTTTATTGCTCTGGCAAGGACTTCCAATACCATGTTGAATAGAAGCAGTGAGAGTGGGCATCCTTGTTTTTTTCTAGATCTTAGAGAAAAGGGCAGACCTCAAAATTTTATCCGGACACTGCCTCTAAGAATAAAGACATTTTCTAGCTTCCCTTAAATCTAGTGTGGCCGTGTGACTAAGTTCTGGCTAGTGGTATGCACAAAGATGCCATATGCGATTTTTAGGAAGGTTTCCCTTTTTAAAATTAATTTATTTTTGAGATGGAGTCTCCCTCTGTTGACCAGGCTGGTGTGCAGCAGTGGGATCATGGCTCACTGCAGCTTTGACCTCCTGGACTCAAAGGATCCACATCAGCCCCCCGAATAGCTGGAACTACAGGTGCACGCTACCATGCCCAGCTAAGTTTTGTATTTTTTGTGTAGAGACAACAGTTCTGCATTATGTTTGGCCCAGGCTGGTCTTTTGGAAAAGCTCCTGAAGCTCACAGTTGAAATCCTCGCTGGCCTTGGCCTCCAAAAACTGCTGGGATTACAGAGCATGAAGCCTACTGTGCCTGGACTAAGGGGAGGGTCTCTGTTAAAAGGAGTAGTGATGAGAACGCGTCTTTTTGCATGCTTGCCATTCGCTTCCTGTGTGTTTTGAAGCAAAATTTTTGGAAAAGGTTGCCAGTTCATGAAACAAAGGAGGCGAGGAGTTTTTAGCTGGAAATCGTAAAAATTAAGTATTTGCCATCTGCTGCAAACGAGAGAGGATTTACGACGAAATTGTTAAAGGCAAGCTTAAAAACATTACCTATTTTGTTTTTAACTCAAGAAGTCTTGGGCAAGCGCAGGTGAAGTTTTAATAATACAGGGTATCGATGATTGAAACAAAAGTGTCGGGAGAGGTTTTCTTATTCTGAGCGCCTCCTGGATAGGATGAATCCGTCAAAGTCATTCAGGTTTTTGTGTTACGAAATTAGTTTTTTGTAGGTGGGTTAGAATCATGGGAAAGAAACCCTCCGACTTCTTGTTGCGGGGGCTTTGCACTGGGGGCTTGCTTCAGTTTCTAAGGGGGGCGATCCACGTTTTTTTATACAAGGCCCCTGGCAATTTCCAAGTCAACTATATCCGCCATGTTTTATTGTATTTATGTTATTTATGTGAGATGGAGAGAGTCTTGCTTCCGTGTTTGGCCCAGGCTGGAGTTGCAGTGGGGCATGGATCTCAGCTCATTGCAACGCTCTGTCTCTCCGGTTCAAGCAACTTCCGGCTATTTTTGGGTATTTTTAGTAGAGATAGAATTTCACCATGTTGGCCAAGCTAGTCTCGAACTCCTGACCTTAAGTGATCCAACCACCTTGGCCTCCCAAAGTGCTAGAATTACAGGCGTGAGCCACCGCGCCCAGCACCAGTAGACCATTTTCAATATTCAGTTGAAATATTCAATTTCATAATAGCATTTTAGCATTAGTGGTTAAAATCTGCCTTGAAGTAGATTAACAGTACAACCTCTTAAGATATTTTCCCTTTTCCTCCTCCTTTTCCTCCTTCTCTCCTTTCAAAGGCCAAGAACACAATCAGTGTACAGTCATCCTTCAAATAAGATTTAAAATTATTTTTCTTCTTTTTCTTTGCAGGGAAAAAAACTAGCAAAGAAACAAGAATAAACTAAGCACACAAATATTAAAAAGTTATTGAGGCTGGGCGTGGTGGCTCACGCCTGTAATCCTACCTATTTGTTAACTCAGAAGTCTGGGCAAGCTCAGGTGAGTTCTATACTCAGGGTATCATGAATTTGAAAACAAAGTGTCAGCAGGCTGAGTTCTTATTTTATTATTCTGGTAGCTATTATAAATGGAAT